AGAGAGGCCTCCAAAGTGATTGGTCGGGCGGGCGAGGTGATGGGGGAGAAAGCTGAGGGTCGACCGCGGAGAGGCGACCAGTTTACCACCGTTGGTGGACGAGCGACGAGGGGTTTGGCACGAGTGGAGTGGGGCGAGCGACGCTATGAGGGGGGGCAGAGGGGTGGTGGCAGAGGGGGAGGAAAAGGGGGGGGGGGAGCAGAGGGGGGGGCAGAAGAATTGTTTCAATGGAGGGGGAAAGGTGGGAAACAGCGGAAACCCAGAGCGCGACGGTTGGGAACCGTTGGGAGGACGAGGACGGAGGAGGAAGTTGGAGGAAGGAGGAGGGAAAAGGAAGGAATGAGGAAGTTGGAGGGAGGGAGGAGGAAGGAGGAGGAAGGGGGGAGGAGGAAGGGGGGGAGGAGGAAGGATGAGGGAGGATGGAGAAGGGAGGAGGGAGGGGGAAGGAGGAGGGAGGAGGAGGGAGGAGGAGGAAGTTGAAGGGAGGAATGAGGAAGGAGGGGGGAGGAGGAGGGAGGAGGGAGGAGGTTGGAGGGAGGAGAAAGGAGGAGGAAGATGGAGGGGGAAGGAGGGAGGAGGGAAGAGGAGGAAGGAGGGGGGAGGGGGGAGTGGGAGGAGGAGGGAGGGGGGAGAAGGGAGGAGGAATGAGGAAGAGGAAGGAGGGAGGGAGGGGGGAGGAGGAGGAGGAACGGAGGAGGGAGGGACGGGGGATCGGCTGCAGGGAAAGCGGTGAGGGAAGCTTCTAGAAAGGGAGCTCGAGAAGGGTAGAAGGGGCAAGGATGAGGGGAGGTGACGAGCTTCAAGAGCCAATCACGACGCCCGGACCGACCCCGTGCTGTGGTTGTATCTTGATACAAAGGGCCCCCTAGTAGAATGCCGTCTTTGCAGGGCGCTTCAAAAAAATGTTAACGCTTAAATGGGACTTTGGGTTTCTAATGGAAAAAGAACGAATAATACGACACTGTAACGTGATAAACAAATGTAACGTTAAATTTCGATTTAAAGCTTTCGTGACTGCAGGGATTCATCTTCTTGGTTCTTTCGGTAAAGTCACGTAGAAGGGAAATAATAAAATAATAAAAATCTAACATTTTTTATCTTTATTCTTTATTATTTTATAAAACATTATGTTTCACTTTTATTATTTTATTATTTCAATTCTACGTGACTTTACTGAAAGAACCAAGAAGATAAATGTAACGTTAATAGCTTCAAAAAGTCAAGGAGTCCATACTCTTTGGTTCTGTCGGTAAAGTCCACGTAGGTATAAAATAAAATATAAAATAAAATAAAGCGTGGCCCGCTGCTGAGGCAGACTGTTTTAAAAAGGTTTGAAATGGGTGTAGCCCAAGGGTCATAAAGAAGTGGCCGGGGCTAGTGATGTTGTTAATGTGAGAAATTAGTACGATGTTAATGTGAGAAATTAGCATGTAACTGGGTACGGAAGAGGCTATGTTAATGTGAGAGATTAGCGTGATGTTAATGTGAGTAAGTAGCATGTAACTGGGCACGGAAGTGGCTATGTTGAGAGATTAGCATGATGTTAATGTGAGAAATTAGCATGTAACTGGGCACGGAAGTGGCTATGTTGAGAGATTAGCATGATGTTAATGTGAGAAATGAGCATGTAACTGGGTACGGAAATGGCTATGTTCAGTTGAGAGATTAGCATGATGTTAATGTGAGAAATTAGCATGTAACTGGGTACGGAAATGGCTATGTTGAGAGATTAGCGTGATGTTAATGTGAGAAATTAGCATGTAACTGGGTACGGAAGTGGCTATGTTGATGTGAGAGATTAGCATGATGTTAATGTGAGAAATTAGCATGTAACTGGGCACGGAAGTGGCTATGTTGAGAGATTAGCGTGATGTTAATGTGAGAAATGAGCATGTAACTGGGTACGGAAATGGCTAAGTTGAGAGATTGGCGTGCTGTTAATGTGAGAAATTAGCATGTAACTGGGCACGGAAGTGGCTATGTTGAGAGATTAGCGTGATGTTAATGTGAGAAATTAGCATGTAACTGGGTACGGAAGTGGCTATGTTAATGTGAGAGATTAGCGTGATGTTAATGTGAGAAATTAGCATGTAACTGGGCACGGAAATGGCTATGTTAATGTGAGAGATTAGCGTGATGTTAATGTGAGAAATTAGCATGTAACTGGGTACGGAAATGGCTATGTTAATGTGAGAGATTAGCGTGATGTTAATGTGAGAAATTAGCATGTAACTGGGTACGGAAGTGGCTATGTTAAGGTGAGAGATTAGCGTGATGTTAATGTGAGAAATTCTACCTACGTGGACATTACCGAAAGAACCAAAGAGTATGGATTATTGCCGTCACGAAGGCTTCAAATCAAGGGACTCGGATTGTAAATGTTGTGGCTTGGCTCTCCAACACACCGGTGTGCTGTACTAGTACACTACACTATACACTACACTACTATACACTACACTATACACTACACTATACACTACCACACTATACACAACGCACGCCTGGGACTCAATTTCTTGTGGGTATTTGCGAGTCGTTTCACTTGGATGTACACTTCGTTGAATTATGATTTAGTTTCAGTCTACAGTAGAACCTCGGAGATCGAACGCCCCAGAACTCGAACAAAATTTTCGACCAATTTTTTTGCCCCGGACATCGAAAAAAAATTCGGAGGTCGAACAACTGGAAAGAACCTGTTTGGGCCGAGACACGTAACCAGGGTCGACCGAGACAAAGGCGATTGACCCGGTTTAGCTCTCGCCCAGTGCAGACCCGCAAAACATCGTTCCGTTAACTTTTTCGTTAATTTCAGTTATTTTAGTGTTTTTTTCTGTTTATCCATACACAATGGATCCTAAAAAAGGTTAGTAGCAGTGATAATCCAAAATAGAGAGCAAAAGAGGACCACGTCTTCAGAGGAGGATGAGGGAAGGGATCGTGCCCCTAGTTCACTGATAAAGGAAATGATGGCAAAATGGGCTGAGTTACACAATTTTGTAGAAAAATATCATCCAGATAAGGCAAGTAGCCAGCAGAGCAGGCGATTTTTATAATCATAATGCATTAAGTCATCCAGAAACATCTTAAAAGGGAGGCAGAAACAATCCTCTCTTGATCAGTTTTTTAGTAAAAAGGACCTCAAGTGAATCGCAGTTCGTGCTAGAAAAAAGGCAAAGAAAAGAAAAAACCCCAGAAGGGCAGTTACCCAACGTTTTTTATGGAGGGGGACTCCACTTTCAAGCAACACTGACACCTCCTCCTCCCCCCCTCCTCACCACCTTCCACTAAAGCCATCCACTCTCTAGATTTGAAGCTTTTGTGACTGCAAGGATTCATATTCTTAGGTGTTTTCGGTAAAGTCACGTAGGTGAAAAATTTACATTAATAAAAGTAAAATAAAAATCACGACGTTTCGGAGGCAACACAAGCTTCCGTCTTCAGGTGGAACCGTCACAGCACGATAGCTGTATCACTTCATAGGATAGCTGTATCACTTGATTTTTATTTTACTTTTATTAATTGTAATTTTTCACCTACGTGACTTTACCGAAAAAAACCTAAGAATATATACCATCCACTCTCCTTACTACAGGTAAAGTGAAGTTCAATGTTCATTTATTCTATTAATTAAAACTGTATTTCTCGTTTTGAGTATGCTTTTAAGTACTGTACTGTATTTTAATATTGTAAACTTTGCGTAAAAATGGCCCATAATAGGAGCATCGTTGGGTGGGGAACCAATTAATGCCATTTTCATTCATTCTTATGGGGAAAATTGATTCGGTGTTCGAACAAATCGGTGTCCGAACACGGTTTTGGAAGGAATAAAGTTCGATCTCCGAGGTACCACTGTATTTGTTAACTCTTCCCCTGTGCATTGCACCGCTGTCGCTGGTGTTTGTGTTTTGTCTGTCCGTTGTTTGTTGTTGTTCTGACCCCGTGGGCCTCTGACTGGAAGTCTGTGCCAAACAAAGAGCTTCATAGCTCATCAGATTTCTCCGCCATCCTCCTCCTGCTGCTGCAGTCTAAATACCAAACATTCTATGACATGACACGATACCCGACTCGCAAAGACGGACGACAACGAGGAGGCATCACCACCGCGACGAATCACCGCTCTGATACCTCGACTTACGGAAGAGTCAAGTTCCAGAGGTCTGTGTTCGTAAGTCCCAACTTTACTCCTGCCGATTTCAAACGCGTTGTACGGCGTGTACACTAAACACGAAGAATGGCTTTAGAAGTCATGTCATCTCCTGTAAATGCAACTGGTTCTTCACGTTCTGCAGATGTAGATGCCACTGGTTCTTCACGTTCTACAGATGTAGATGCCACTGGTTCTTCACGTTCTACAGATATAGATGTCACTGGTTCTTCACGTTCTGTAGATGCCACTGCTTATACTGGTAGGAACCTCCTGGTTACACCAGCCCACAAGGGATTATTGTGTCCGTCGTGCAGGGAGGGGCTGGGTGGGGAGGGAGGGGCTGGGTGGGGAGGGTGGGAGGTGGGAGGGGTAGGGCTGGGTGGGGAGGGGCTGGTCACCCCGTGGTGCCCTTATAAAACTCAACGTTTAACCTACTCACGCCGGCTTGTGCCCGCCCTCAGTCGGCCATATTTGCGGAATTCACCATGCCGCCGTTGACCCTGGCCATTGACCGAGCAACCCAACGTTCCTACCAGCTCCACTGGTTCTTCACGTTCTGTAAATGCCACTGATTCTTCATGTTCTGCAGATGTAGATGCCACTGGTTCTTCACATTCTGTAGACGTAGATGCCACCACCGCCATTTCTTGTGACAGTTAAAATTACGACTCTTCGCCCGAACAGGCAATTGGACATATTGGAACAGAGTTAGTTCGAATCTCTGAAAGTCCGTAAGTCGAGGTAGTCCCTGTACTCCCAACGCAATCACCGAGCTCGCCAACTCACCTCGATGTCGAATTGCAACCTTCTGGTCTGCAACAGCCATGTAATCAATCACGAACGCGGCGTGTGATGGTGATCATTGATTCTTTATTAATTCATTACCATTTTCAATTATGTTCGCTTTAACATGACAGAGCCTCACAGAGTCTCAAGATCTCTTCATTCAAGGGAGGGTCCTGCCCAAGTTCCTAAGAGATGTTAACTACCTCGCCTGGTATGCAGGAGGTCGTGGGTTCGATCCTGACCCTGATGCCTGCTGCTTATTTGGAGTTTGCATCTCTCTCTCTCTCCTCGCGGTTGCGTGGATTTTTTCTCCGGGTTTCCCCTCCACATTAAAAACCATGCGTTTTAGACTATGTCCAAATCACGGGGCCACTTTGTTGATCTGCTATAGTTTAGTAATGGCCAGGTCGCTTTTGAAAAATAATTGAATACCTCAGTGGGCTTTACCTGATAGGATGGTTGAGTGTTGTATTTGTATGTGTTTGGGTGATTTCTTTACCCATCTTGTACTTTTCACTAGCATCGTGTTTGCGTGTCGTGTTTTTTTCTTGTACCATTCCTACCCCGTGCTCCTACTGGACACCTGTGAGCAGAGAGGTTCATGAATCAAGGTATTCTTCCACGATTAATATTCCGATTCTAATTCTAGGTTTATCAAAGGGCGCCACGGTGGCTAGAGAAATGTTGACTATCCCACCTGGTACGCAGATCGTGGGCTTGAAGATCCCGACCCTGACAACGCCTGCTACTGTATATTTGGTGAGATGTTAACTCCCTCGCCTGGTATACATGAGGTCGTGGGTTCGATCCCGACCCTGACGTCACAGTGGCTAGGTAGATGTTGACTACCTCGCCTGGTGTGCAGGAGGTCGTGGGTTCAATCCCGACCCCGAAACCACGGTGGCTACGTAGATGTTGACTACCTTTCCTGGTGTGCAGGAGGTCGTGGGTTCGATCCCGACCCCGATAACGCCTGCTGCTGTATATTTGGAGACTGCGTCTCTCCCTCTCTCTCTCTCTCCCGTGATGGTCACTGCGTGGATTTTTCTCCGGGATCCTCCGGTTTTCCCCCCCTCCAACATTTAGAATCAACGTCTCTAAACATTTAAGAGAGAATTTGGCCGGTGATGCTAGAAAATAAAACACTGTGCCAGGATCCTGATGAATAAGCATCTTGAGACTTAATGAGGATGATCTGTGTAGACAACCATCCGATTAAACCATCTGTGGCAGACCGAGAATGTGGCACTTGTACATGTAAATATACATACTCACACATATATACAATTGTAAACAAAGACAAATACAAAGATCCTCCGTGTAGCCTGAACAGACTGTTGGGGCAAGTGCTGTTCGTAGCGAGTAGCAGCAGCGGATATGAAGGCCGGCACTGTGGCACACGAGGGGGTGGGGGGTGGGTAGCCAGCACCACGCCCGGCCGCCTTTGTCTCCCCCAGTGGCGATGTTTACTACACCACCACGCCAGGTTACTCATTTGAGGGGAGGAGGCCCAGGACCGGTTCAGATAATCGTCAACCGGTGTTGGTGGCCGTGAGCGGGAATCAAACTCGAGTCGCCGAGTTCGTAGCGCGACCACACTACCGCTCCCCACACAATTACAAGCACGCAACACACACATAGCAACAGTAGCTCCTGTTCACCACCAAGTGGCAGTGATGAGCCTGCGCTAGGCTCGGTGCACTTTGAGGCCACGTGAAGTGTCGAGGGCTCGGTGGCAGGTCACCGGACAGATCCAAGACCCGTGGGTTAACCGAGACAATTGGCAGACGCGCCACCTATTCTTCATACTGTGCCAAATTGCTGCACTTTAGATGCCCAGCGCTCCGCTCGTTGTTGCGAGCATCGCTCCTCCACCCTCCGTTGTTGCTACCAGGGCAAGTGCCTCCAACTGCCCAGTAGCTGCGTCCTTCACGAGCCTCCTCGAATGAGGGCGATCTTGACACCGCTGGTACCGGTCATCGGCAAGGCCACTCAGCTCCACGTCCTTCTGTACCAAATCAGCTCCGTCTCTTCTCCAGTCCGTGTTGCGCCCATTTAGCCCCCTCTTATCCGGCCAAACAGAAGCTGCTTGGGGAGGCGATAGGGCTGGGCATGTGGGCTACATGACCCAGCCAATATAGCCTTGTATTCCGGAGAAGCTAACCGATGGGAATATCCAGATCTGTCTGGATGTGTGAGGCCCCTCACACAATCCAGCCCGCAGGTTAAACCGATGGATCGTAGGCAGGGCCAGCCTAAATGTTTTACACCGGTGCAGATGTTCCTCTTACTGGTAGGAACCCACTGGTTCCACCAGCCCACATGGGATTATTGTGTCCGTCCGTCGTGCAGGGAGGGGCTGGGTGGGGAGGGTGGGGCTGGGAGGGTGGGGAGGGGCTGGTCACCCCGTGGTGCCCTTATAAAACTCAACGTTTAACCTACTCACGCCAGCTTGTGCCCGCCCTCACAGTCGGCCATATTTGCGGAATACACCACGCCGCCGTTGACCTTGGCCATTGACCGAGCAACCCAACGCTCCTACCAGCTCCCTCCACAGGAATGTGTTTTAAAGGGGTCCACATTTCGGAAGCATACAGAGGGGAGTGCATTACTGTGGCCGAGAAGACCCAGAGGTTCGTGTGAAGCGACAGGCCAGGTAGCGATAGGTTTTTACCCTTTCAACTGGTACAAAAACTGACACCTTTATACAAGGCATCATTTTTGCAATAACCACAACACAGTCAAAATGCAAACAAAAAGAAACTCTGATAATGATATGCACTGTCCTTGAAGTTGATTGGTCCACACCCGAGACAGCTTTTCTTAGAGCCTTTTTTGTACCAGTTGAAAGGGTAAAAACCTATCACTATATTTTGCCACTGGCAAAGGTCTCATAGTGTAAAGGCCAGGTAGCCTCCACACAGCGTTTAGCAGCCGATAGAAAAATGCTGCTCCACTGATTCAGCGAGACCTCTGTTGCCAAACTAGATAGCCATGAGCACCCGCTCTCCACAGCTGTCCCATCACTCATGGGGAGTTGAGGAGGTGGAGTTTTCGATGGCACAAAATACTCAGGCAGGTGCTTTGTTTTGGGTTAGGCTCATGGCAAGATCCCACCTCTTCGTGGCAAGCTCCAGGTCTAGCAGCAGAGCCTCCAACCCCTCAGATTGATCAGCAATCATCAGATCATCGACGTACATAACATGGTTGACCAATAGGTAGCCATACCTCGACCGCACCCGAGCATCGATCAGCCTCCCATTGTATCTGTACCGGATGGAAATTGCTTTGGCACAGCCATGGAAAGCTTCTCAAACTGCGTGGTCAAAGATGACGTTAAATAATGTAGGAGCCAAAGGATATCCCTGTCGCACCCCCAAGGTGAACAGGGAATAACTCTGATTCTCGGCCACGTAGCTTTAACGGGGACTGCCCATCATCATGAAGGCCTGATTGATCGTATCACACACACCACACCTACCACGACACACACACACCTACCACTACACACACGTCTACCACAACACACACACGTCTACCACAACACCCACACACATCTCGTCGTCGGCTGGTTATTCGCTTGCGAAAATCAGGGAGGAATAAGAGGTCCATGTGGTTGGCAGGCGTTGCTGGTGGCTGACAAGGCCGATCCTTGACTTGCAGATTTTGTGGCAGGTGGTGGATTTGAACTCCTGACCAGTCCGGCTCAGAGTGTGAGACATGCCCGTGGTGGTCGTCTTCCTGCGCCTCCGATTTTTCTGTTAAAGCTTTGTGCATACCACTACAGACACACACACCACTACACACACACACAAAGACCCCCCGTATAGCCTTAACAGACTGTAGGGGCAAGTGCTGTTAGCGAGCACCTATGAAGGCCGGCACGGCACACGAGGGGTGGGTGGCCAGCACCACGCCCGACCGCCTTTGTCTCCCTAGTGGTGATGTTTACACACCGCACCAGGTACTCATTTGAGGCTGAGTCGACCTAGGGGAGGCCCGGGACCGGTTCAGATAATCGTCACTGGTGTTGGCCGTGAGCGGGAATCGAATTCGTGTCGCCGGGTTCATAGCGCAGCGCGCTAACCGCTACACTACCGCTCCCCACACACACACACACACCTACCACCACACACAATCACACAGACTCAGGCACATGTAAGACACGCTGAAGGCCGCTGTGAGTCTCCGCTCCGATACGGTGAGCTCAGTTGAGTCGCAGTGAGCAGCAGATGCAGCTGAAGTTGTTGCAGTCGGGCTCATGCCACCCGCAGACGCACTGGGAGCACGGACAGCAGCGGTAGAGCCTGGACTCACAGAGCTGAGACACAGAGAGACACAGAGACAGACACTCAGAGCCTAGAATCACAGAGCTACAACACAGAGAGACACAGAGAGAGAGACAGACACTCAGAGCCTAGAATCACAGAGCTACAACACAGAGACACACAGAGAGACAGAGACAGACACTCAGAGCCTGGACTCACAGAGCTGAGACACAGAGAGACACAGAGACAGACACTCAGAGCCTAGAATCACAGAGCTACAACACAGAGAGACACAGAGACAGACACTCAGAGCCTAGAATCACAGAGCTACAACACAGAGACACACAGAGAGACAGAGACAGACACTCAGAGCCTGGACTCACAGAGCTACAACACAGAGAGACACACAGAAAGACAGACACTCAGAGCCTAGACTCACTAAGGCTACAACACACAGAGACAGACACTCAGAGCCTAGAATCACTAAGGCTACAACACAGAGAGACACAGAGAGACAGAGACAGACACTCAGAGCCTGGACTCACAGAGCTGAGACAGAGAGACACACAGAGACAGACACTCAGAGCCTAGACTCACAGAGCTACAACACAGAGAGACAGAGAGAGACAGACACTCAGAGCCTAGACTCACAGAGCTACAACACAGAGAGACACACAGAGAGACAGAGACAGACACCCAGAGCCTAGACTCACAGAGCTACAACACAGAGAGACAGAGAGAGACATACACTCAGAGCCTGGACTCACAGAGCTACAACACAGAGAGACACAGAGACAGACACTCAGAGCATGAGCAGCAGAGGTACAGAACGTAATCACAGAGCTACAACACAGAGGGAGAAAGAGATAGACACAGAGAGAGATGTATGCAAATACAGAGAGATTAAGATGGAGACTAAGGGAGACAGAGAGAGACACAGATAAGCACAGACAGATAGATGTGTATATACACGTAGACGAAATTACTCGAGACAGAATGTGATGTAACCAGAACATTAAAAACCACGTCAAAATAATTTCAGATTGAATTTCGATTTAAAGCTTTCGTGACTGCAGGGATTCATCTTCTTGGTTCTTTCGGTAAAGTCACGTAGAAGGGAAATCATAAAATAATAAAAATAAAACATAATAAAATAATATTCTATTATTTTATTATGTTGTAATAAAATAATAAAAATAAAACATAATAAAATAATATAATATTATATTATTTTATTATAATAAAAGAATAAAAATAAAACATAATAAAATAATATAATATTATTTTATTATGTTTAATTTATTTTATTTTATTATTTCCCTTCTACGTGACTTTACCGAAACAACCAAGAAGATTAATCTCAGATTGTGCACAAACGATTGACAATTTCTCAACGAGCTCATGAGGATCTTTGAAATCGCGCAAAGATCTCAATCATTAAAATCAGACACCTCAAATCAGACGAAATCAAAATCACAGATCTCTTGAAACGATTAAAATCGCGTCCAAACCATGCAACAAAAGCCATTGAAAAAGCGATTTCAAAGCAAGCGGAAATCACTCAAAAGTCATCGAAAATATCGCGGAAAGATCCCTGAAAATATCGCAGAAAGATCTCCACAAAACCACCAGAAATTAAGTTTAGTCCCTCAGGGTTAATGTGTTTTTTTTTTATCCATTCCGCCAAAACACCGCCGTTGGCCGAATTGAACGGCTCGTCGAACATGGGAACTGGGCATTAAGACGCCAGAGGTCGCAACCGGGTATCCGATACCCGTACCCTACCCTACACCCATACCCTACCCGACACCCGTACCCTACCCTACACCCGTATCCTACCTGATACCCGGCTACCCGTACCCAGCCGGGTACGGGTAGGCCGTGAGTCACTGGTGAGTAGCCATTTGTCACTCATTTCCCAACGTCTTGTCTCTTCTCACAATTCAAGTTCCTAGAATCAACCCACCCGCGCCTGCAACATGGCTTCAGCCCAGAGGTCGCAATCAGGTACCCGATACCTGTACCTTACCCGTACCCGGCCGGGTACGGGTAGCCGGGTATCGGGTAGGGTACGGGCACCCGTTTGCGACCCTGGTGCGGCCGGGTACGGGTACGGGTAAGGAATCAAAACCCGTTTGCGACCTCTGCCACACGCACAAACGGTGCGTCGCTACGTTGGCCGAGGCCACGGATCAGCCCCCCCCCGCCCGCCCGCCCCCCAATTCAGCGAACCGCCGTGCGTGCTCGCGTAACGTAGTAACACAAAAATTCTAGATGTGAAGCTTTCGTGACTGCAAGGATTCATACTCTGAGGTTGTTTCGGTAAAGTCAGGCGAGTAAAAAAATTTATAACAAAAATAATAAATGAAAATAACTGATCTTCTTGGTTCTTTCGGTAAAGTCACGTAGAATAGAAATAATAAAAAAATAAAATTAAAACATTATAAAATAATTCTCACGACGTTAATGTTTAATTTTTATTATTTTATTATTTCTATTCTATGTGACTTTACCGAAAGAACCAAGAAGAGGAATCCCTGCAGTCACAAAAGCTTTAAATCGAAAATAACTCAATTAAATCACGACGTTTCGGAGGCAACACAAGTTTCCGTCTTCAGGTGTGGGACCATCACAGCCCAATTGACTGTATCAAGTGAAGAGAAATCCAAGAGACAAGATCTTAAATTATTCTTTGGTTCTTTCGGTTAAGTCACGTCTAAAGATAAAATAATAAATTAAATAATAGCATATTACGACGTTTCGATTGCAACACAAGCAATCATCATCAGGCTTAAAAGAAATAGCAACAAAAATCTAACTAGAAAACTATAGACAGACATACAAGCAGACAGACATCACAAGGACACACAGAGAGAGAACACATATCGGCACAAAGAGATTGACTAAGGCACCGTCACAGAAACGACCTCTCTCTTTGTGCCGATATGTGTCCTCTCTCTGTGTGTCCTTGTGATGTCTGTCTGCTTGTATGTCTGTCTATAGTTTTCTAGTTAGATTTTTGTTGCTATTTCTTTTATGCCTGATGATGATTGCTTGTGTTGCAATCGAAACGTCGTAATATGCTATTATTCAATTTATTATTTTATCTTTAGACGTGACTTAACCGAAAGAACCAAAGAATAATTCCTGCAGTCACGAAAGCTCCAAAATTAAGAAGATCTTAAATAGTGGTTCAGGGGAGGGGGGAGGGGTTTATCTAAATGTGGCAGCAGTCAGGAGCTGGGAGGGTGATCATCATATTCTTGGTTCTTTCGGTAAAGTCAATAAAAAAATCTCACGACGTTTATCGACTGCAACACAAGCAGCAATCATCGTCAGGTGTGAAATCCACAGCAAGAAAATTTTGAAACGTCGTGAGAATTTTTATTGTTTTATATTTTTATTATTTTATTATTTCCCTTCTACGTGATGACTTTACCGAAAGAACCAAGAATATGAATCCCTGCAGTCACGAAAGCTTTAAATCGAAATTTAATAGTGGCTTTATTAGTTCTTTCGGTAAAGTCACGTAGAAGGGAAATAATAAAACAATACAAATATAAAACAACAAAAATTCTCACGACGTTGACAGCAACACAAGCAATTTTATTGTTTTATATATTTTTTAATTATTTCCCTTCTACGTGATGACTTTACCGAAAGAACCAAGAATATGAATCCCTGCAGTCACGAAAGCTTTAAATCAATTGTCATCCTTAATCGACGGGGGGGAGGGGGGTGGGACACTAGCCGTACCGCTTGAGACTCATTGAGATCACGCAAAGAATCCCTGAATCACCAAAGACCACGCACAATCAAAGGACGAACGAATCGTTACGTTTAGAAAAAAGAATCACAAAAGGAGCAAAGGATGTAAATCAGCCCACGATTGTTGAAATGATAGCAACAAATTTAGATTTCCCTGGGGTCAGAGGTTAGAGGTGGCAGGGGGGGGGGGGATTGGGGTGGGGGTCAGGGGGGGATGTCCCCCACTCCCCCCCACCCCCACCCCCCATCCGGTTGCTCTCTCACTGTTGCAGTCGCAGCAGAAATCGCAGCACGAACCAAAGCTGCAGCCGATGCCGCTACAATCACAGAGGTGGGCGCGGGTGCTTCTGAAACGCTGAGCAGGGCACGCGCACACAGACACACGCACAGTCAGACACGCACACAGACACGCACACACACACACAGTCAGACACACACAGTCAGACACGCACACACACACGCACACAGTCAGACACGCACACCGTCACACGCACACCGTCACATGCACACACAGTCAAACACGCACACAGACACACACACACACAGTCAGACACGCACACAGACACACGCACAGTCAGACACGCACACAGACACGCACACACACACACAGTCAGACACACACAGTCAGACACGCACACACACACGCACACAGTCAGACACGCACACCGTCACACGCACACCGTCACATGCACACACAGTCAAACACGCACACAGACACACACACACACAGTCAGACACGCACACAGACACACGCACAGTCAGACACGCACACAGACACGCACACCGTCACACGCACAGTCAGACACACACACAAACACACACACAGTCAGACACGCACACAGACACGCACACCGTCACACGCAGTCAGACACACACACAGACACGCACACAAACACACGCACAGTCAGACACACACAAAGACACAGACACACGCACAGTCAGACATGCGCACAGTCATACGCACACAGACACACAGACACACAGACACGCACACACACAGACACACACAAAGGCACAGGCACACACACAAAGACAGTCACACACGCACACAGACACATGCACAACGACACAACAACCGCCATTCGCCACTAAGTGGCGGTGACGTCACCACGACGCTTGTGCCAGGCTATGTGCACCTTGAGGCCACGTGAAGTGTCGAACGCCCGCTGGCAGGTCACGGGGCAGACCCAGATGCCACAGGTCGACTGAGATGACTGAGATGACTGGCTGATGCACCACCTGTGCCCCCTATTGTGCCAACTTGCTGTGCTTTAGCCACCCGGCGCTCCGCTCGTTGTTGTGAGCGTCGCTCCTCCGCCCTCCGTTGTTGTTGGAGGGCGACTGCCTCCAACTGCCCAGTAGCGTCCTTCACGAGCCTCCTCCAGAGGCCGATCTTGACACCGCTGGTACCGGTCATCGGCAAGTCCACTCAGCTCCACATCCTCCTGTACCACATCACTCCATCTCTTCTCTAGCCCGTGCCGCGCCCGTTTAGCCCCCTCGATCTGGCCGAACAAAAGCTGTTTAGGCATGCGGTGGCTGGGCATGCGGGCTACATGACCCAGCCAACGCAGCCTTGCCTGCCGGAGGAGCTCACCGATGGGACTTTGTCCAGATCTTTCAAGGATTTGTGAGCTCCTCACACAATCCAGCCTGCAGGTTAAACCCAGGATGGATCGTAGACAGGCCAGCCTAAATGTTTCTAACCGGCGAAGATGTTCCATTAGGGGGGTCCACGTTTCGCAAGCGTAGAGAAGGGAGGGAATGACCGTGGCCGAGAAGACCCCGTAGTAGTGGTGGTAGTAGTAGGTGGACCACTGCCAATTTTGCCATTCATTGTTTCCACTCTCCTCTCTCTGTCTTTTCGTGTCAATGTCATACCACGTCAACCCAAACGGTTTACCCCGTATTCTTGTACAGGGAAATTGAGTTTTCAGGCCCATACTGCGTACAGCCGTTTCAACACTGACAACATAAAATGTCTATTTGTTTGTGTTTCTTCCTTGTGATGGGACTGTGTAGGATGAACGTTGATATTTATAAGGGCACGGGGTGACCAACAAGGTCTGAATTGGTCTTCTTGGTTCTTTCGGTAAAGTCACGTAGAAGGGAAATAATAAAATAATAAAAACTCTTTCTTTTTATTATTTTATTATTTCCCTTCTACGTGACTTTCCCTTCTACGTGACTTTACCGAAAGAACCAAGACGATGAATCCCTGCAGTCGCGAAAGCTTTAAATCGAAATTTAAGGTCTGAATTGGTCTGTAGTAAGGTAGGGCATTGATAAGGGGTTGACAGCTATGGTGGTGGTGAGTGTACTAGTGGTGAGTGTACTGGTGGTGAGTGTAGTGGTGGTGACTGTACTAGTGGTGAGTGTACTAGTGGTGAGTGTAGTGGTGAGTGTACTAGTGGTGAGTGTACTAGTGGTGAGTGTCGTGGTGAGTGTCGTGGTGAGTGTATTGGTGAGTGTACTAAAGGTGAGTGTAGTGGAGAGTGTAGTGGTGAGTGTAGTGGTGAGTGTATTGGTGAGTGTACTAGTGGTGAGTGTAGTGGTGGTGAGTGTACTAGAGGTGAGTGTAGTGGTGAGTGTACTAGTGGTGAGTGTATTGGTGAGTGTACTAGTGGTGAGTGTAGTGGTGGTGAGTGTACTAGAGGTGAGTGTAGTGGTGAGTGTAGTGGTGAGTGTATTGGTGAGTGTACTAGTGGTGAGTGTATTGGTGAGTGTATTGGTGAGTGTAGTGGTGGTGAGTGTACTAGAGGTGAGTGTAGTGGTGAGTGTATTGGTGAGTGTACTAGTGGTGAGTGTAGTGGTGAATGTAGTGGTGAGTGTACTAGTGGTGAGTGTAGTGGTGAGTGTATTGGTGAGTGTACTAGTGGTGAGTGTAGTGGTGAGTGTACTAGTGGTGAGTGTAGTGGTGAGTGTACTAGTGGTTAGTGTGGTAGTGAGTGTACTAGTGGTGAGTGTAGTGGTGAGTGTACTAAGATGAGTGTAGTAGTGGTGAGTGTAGTGGTGGTGAGTGTGGTAGTGAGTGTACTAGTGGTGAGTGTACTAGTGGTGAGTATATTGGTGAGTGTACTAGAGGTGAGTGTATTGGTGGTGATAGTCTATTTATTTGTGTTTCTCCCTTGCGATGGGTGAACGTTGAGCTTCATAAGGGGCACGGGGTCACCAATAAGATCTTCGTTCTAGATTTGAAGCTTTCGTGACTGCAAGGATTCATACTCTTAGGTTTTTTCGGTAAAGTCACGTAGGTAAAAAATTTTAATTAATAAAAGTAAAATAAAACAAATTTAAAAAATCAAGACGTTTCGGAAGCAACACAAGCTCCCGTCATCTGGTCCAACACCATGTGAGACTAGGCTCTAAGGAAAGCTGTCTCGGGTGTGGACCAATCAACTTCAAGGACAGTGCATACATTATCAGAGTTGTGTTTTTTGTTTGCATTACGACTGCAGGTATTGTGGTCAATGCAAACATGACTCCTTGTAAAAAAGGTGTCAGTTTTGTTGCCAGATAGAAGGGTAAAAAAAACAATTATCATATTTCTACTGGCAAATGAGGTTCCAATGGTAGTTCAGAGGGTTTAGCTTTAGACAGCCGAGATAGTTTGGCGCGAGCGGCCTCACGTTGGGACGAGGGCAGCAGGAGTCGAGGCAGCCGGTCACCGTGGGAACTCGGCAATCGCAGCTCCGAGCGCAGCTCAGGCAGCAGTCGGTGCAGGAGGAGGAGGAGGGAGGGGAGCAGCAGCCGTCAGGGTCACACGGGGAGATTCCCCTTTCCTGCGTGTACACACACACACACAGAGAGACAGAGAGAGACAGAGAGACACAGAGACAGAGAGACAGAGAGACACACAGCGACAGAGACACAGAGACACACAGAGAGACAGAGACACAGAGAGACAGAGACACAGAGACACAGAGACAGAGAGACAGAGAGGCAGAGAGACACAGAGAGACACACAGAGAGACACACAGAGACAGAGAAAGAAACAGAAAGAAATGCAGAGAGCGATACACCGATAGAGATAGAGATCTAGGCTGTATCTAGGAAAGGGGCAGTTACCCCTAGTGTGTAGTGTGGTGTAGTGTATAGTAGTGTAGTGTATAGTAGTGTAGTATATAGTAGTGTATATAGTGTAGTGTATAGTGTAGTATATAGTAGTGTATAGTAGTGTAGTGTGTAGTGTAGTGTATAGTGTAGTGTATAGTAGTGTATATAGTGTAGTGTATAGTGTAGTATATAGTAGTGTATAGTAGTGTAGTGTGTAGTGTAGTGTATAGTAGTGTAGTGTATAGTGTAGTGTATAGTGTAGTGTATAGTAGTGTATATAGTGTAGTGTATAGTGTAGTATATAGTAGTGTATAGTGTAGTGTATAGTAGTGTAGTGTATAGTGTAGTGTATAGTATAGTATATAGTAGTGTATAGTAGAGTAGTGTATAGTGTAGTGTATAGTGTAGTGTATAGTAGTGTAGTGTATAGTAGTGTAGTAGTGTAGTAGTGTAGTGTATAGTAGTGTAGTGTATAGTAGTGTAGTGTATAGTAGTGTATAGTAGTGTATAGTAGTGTAGTGTATAGTAGTGTAGTGTATAGTAGTGTAGTGTATAGTAGTGTATAGTAGTGTATAGTAGTGTATAGTAGTGTAGTGTATAGTGTAGTGTATAGTAGTGTAGTGTATAGTAGTGTAGTGTATAGTAGTGTAGTGTATAGTAGTGTAGTGTATAGTAGTGTATAGTGTAGTGTATAGTAGTGTAGTGTATAGTAGTGTAGTGTATAGTAGTGTAGTGTATAGTAGTGTAGTGTATAGTGTAGTGTATAGTGTAGTGTATAGTAGTGTAGTGTATAGTAGTGTATAGTAGTGTAGTGTATAGTAGTGTAGTGTATAGTAGTGTAGTGTATAGTGTAGTGTATAGTAGTGTAGTGTATAGTAGTGTAGTGTATAGTGTAGTGTATAGTGTAGTGTATAGTAGTGTAGTGTATAGTAGTGTAGTGTATAGTAGTGTATAGTAGTGTAGTGTGTAGTGTAGTACAGTGAGGGAAAAAAGCATTTGATCCCCTGCTGATTTTGTACGTTTGCCCACTGACAAAGAAATGTTCAGTCTATAATTTTAATTGTAGGTTTATTTGAACAGTGAGAGACATACCGGTGTGCTGTACTAGTACACTACACTACTATACACTACACTACACACTACGCTACTAAACACTACACTATACACTACGCTGCTAAACACTACACTATACACTATGCTACTATACACTACACTACACACTACTAAACACTACACTATACACTACACTACTATACACTACACTATACACTATGCTACTATACACTACACTACACACTACTAAACACTACACTATACACTACACTACTGTAGTAAGTATATATGGAGGCTTGACGACAGGATCGGAGGCACACTTATTTATTACACCAACACAGTTGTACAGGTCACTTGGCTACAGGGATTCTCGACAGCTAACCCCTCTAACCTATACCAATTCCTCCACTACGGGACTAGGGGAGGCTATCTGTCCCAGCTTGGTTAAGCTGGGATCCCGGCTCCCTGAGTCACCAGACCAGCTTCGTCTGGGCTCTCGGGGCCACGCCACCGGCTTGCCCTGGTCGGCCCTTATAAGGACAGCGAGCCAGGGGAGCTCTGGGGCCTACACTAGCTGGTCTTCCGTCTTCTCTGGTTAAAGCTGAGTCCCGACCTCGAGCCCTCGAGCTCATCACCTTTTATAGGACTCGCCCCCGAGGGGGGGGCCCGTGGGGGATACACATGCGGACGTCGGTGCTAGCGCCACCCTTGTGTACGGCCGTAACCCCGCCCATTGTGTTTGTTGGCCATCCGTGGCCATGCATAATCACACCTCAACATTCGTAGCCATGCGCAATTACACCTCTACATCACCCCCCCCTGTACAGCTCGCAGCCGTCCCTGGCTGCAAAAAAAAAAAAAAATCAGAATAAAGGTGCATCCCTCACAAAAACCCCGTGTGTGTGCCTCGCGTAATTTTTAACAAGAACAAGAGAACCTTAACAAGAACAACAACAGGAAGAGAGAGAGAGAGAGAGAGGAAAAAAAAATAACCCGACGCACCCCCCCCGAATAAATACCCCAAAACCAACATATATACACACACTCCGGACGCCACCCCTCCCATTGTCCGCAAGGCCCCCCAACGGCCGACCTCACAATAGTCTGCGCGTTTTGGCGCGCGTCCGCGCGGCGGGCCCATCACAAGGGCCCGTCCTGGCACGCTCAGTGACGGTTGTTGACGGTCCGGGTGCAAGAGAGTCAGGCGTCGCTGCCGAGTGACCCCCGACCCCTCCGGGAGGGGTTGGTGGGTGTGGACCCGTCACTCCTGTTTCACCTGGGGACGGAACAGTTGGCGTCAGGTTAGGCGAGTGCAGCGACGACGGGGAGTCGGCGACACCCTCACACGTTTGGCCATGCGTGTGTGTGTGTGAACCACGGGGCGGCGCGACAAATGGTTTTAACCTTGAGGGGTGCACATACCACCGGCGCCTCCCCCATTTGACGCGAACACATTGCGGCCGCAAAACCTGCACGACCTCCACTGGCCCCCGCCACGGCCGTACCAATTTCGACGAGGTTGCCAGCGGCACCTGAGGACAGTGCAACCACGCCCTGTCCCCTGGTTCCCATTTGACCACCTGCACCCGCCCCAACCGAAGCCTCTCGTTCGCCTTCTGGCGGAGTTCAGAATTTTGCACGGCCGCTTCCCGCGCCTCAGACAATTTAGCGATGTTAAATTTAATGTGTTCGGACAAATTAGACTTCGCCGGGAGCGCCGAGAGCTTCAGCTGGGTCGCCACAGGGGGGTTAACTTCGCGCCCATACATTAAAAAGAAAGGGGAAAATCCGGTGGCCGCATGAGGAGCCATTCTGTAGGCCTGCAACACACCGGCTATGCGGAGGTCCCAATCCGTCTGGGATACCGACACCTGCTGGGACAGCATGGACGTGATGGTCCGATGCAGCCGTTCCACCATCCCGTCAGTTTGTGGGTGATACGGAGAGGTCCGAACCTTCTCCGTACCCAAGAGGTCGCACACCTCACGTAGGAGTTTACCAGAAAAATTCCTACCCTGGTCAGTAAGCAGCCGTTCCGGAGCACCTTTGTCGAGGACATAGCCCTGGACAAAGGCCTCCGCGATGGCTGCTGCCGACTGGTTCGCCAGGGGCCAGGCCATAGGCCATCTCGTGAAGTATTCAACCCCCGTTAGTAAATACCTATTGCCCCTGGGCGTAGCGGGAAATGGCCCAAGTATGTCCAGAGCGACGAGCTCGTTAACCCGGGAAACTTTTATGGACTGCAGCGGAGGGTTGGACCCCCTCGCAGGCGGCTTCCTCTGCGCGCATTGCGTGCATGACCCCAAGAGATCCCCCACGTCCTTTTCCATGCCCGGCCAGAAGAAATCCAGCTGGAGCGTGGCAAAGGTCTTGTGAACCCCCAAGTGCAGAAGCCGCTCATGAACAGCCCATACCACCTTACCCCTTAAAGCAGCAGGCACCACAAGCCGCTGGCGCCGGGTTTTTCCATCCCAGTGCATCAAAGACCCTGGAACAACCCCCACGAGTCAACGTTTTCCACCCCCTGACCAGCCCCCCCGACGCGACGGCGCAAAGCGAGGAGGGAGGTGTCCTCCATTTGGAGGCGTCCCCATTCCGCGACCGGCAACCCCAGCAACGAATCCCTCCCTTCTTGCTCGATAGGACCCGAAGCCGAAGGTGCATCGGTAGCGGCCACGAGGACCGAATCGGTGGTGACGTTCGGGGGCCTACAACGCCCCGAACCCAACAGACACGCGCACTCCGAAGTGGGTGGCAATCGTGACAGGGCGTCAGCGTTCGTGTGGCGGACACCCTTACGATATGTGGTGACAAAGTCATAGTCTTGGAGGATCTCCAACCATCGAGACAACTGGCCCGATGGTTGTTGAACCCGCAGGGCGTACTGTAGGGCCGCATGATCTGTACGGACGGTGAACCGCCGACCGTACAGATACGGGCGGTACTGCTGAATGAAATAAACAATGGCCAATAATTCCCGACGGGTAACGCAGTACCGCTGTTCGGCTGGAGACAGTACCCGACTACCGTAAGCCACCACATGCTCTACGCCCCCGATGAGCTGGGACAGCACACCCCCGATGCCCGTGTTACTTGCGTCAGTATCGAGCAAGAAGGGTTGTGAAAAATCCGGGTAATTCAACGGCGGAGCTCCCACCAAAGCATTTCTGAGGGCGCGAAAAGCAGCCTCCTCCTCCGGCCCCCAATGAAACCTGACTCCCTTGGACGTCAAGGCATGCAATGGTTTCGCAATCGTAGCGAAGTCAGCCACAAATCGCCGATAATACGACGCGAACCCAATGAAACTCCTGACCTCTCCCACAGAGGTGGGAGTCGGCCAGGAGCTGACGCATTCCGTTTTGGCGGGATCAGTGGATATCCCCGAGCGCCCAACAATGTGACCCAAATATCGCACCGATTCGCGGAGTAAATGACACTTCTGTGGTTTAAATTTCAAATTGGCAGCCCGCATTTTGAGAAAAACAGCACGCAACCTCTGGAGGTGTTCCTCGAAGGATTTGCTAAAGACGATGACATCGTCTAAGTAAATCAAACACGAATCCCATTGCAAACCTGCCAAGACCAATTCCATTAACCGCTGAAAAGTTGCCGGCGCAGAATGTAAACCCATCGGCAAACGGTTAAATTGGAAGAGGCCCTGCGGTGTACGAAAAGCAGTCTTAGGTTTCGATTCGTCATCCAGAGGAAGCTGCCAGAATCCAGATAGCAAATCAAGGGTGGAAAAGAATCGTGCACCGGCCAAGGCGTCGAGCGACTCATCCATCCGAGGAAGCGGGTACGCATCTGCCACAGAGATTTTGTTGAGACGCCGAAAGTCAACACAAAATCTCAGTGAGCCGTCGTGTTTCTTCACCAAAACGATCGGCGCGCCCCACGGGCTGGTGGAAGGGGAAATGATATCGGCGGCTAGCATGTCATCAACAGCCGATTTGACATGATCCTTTTCGGCGGGACTCAACCGAAAGGGATTTTGGCGGATTGGCGCGCTGTCACCCGTGTCAATATGGTGTCGCAGCAATTTTGTACAACCAATATCAAATTTGTGTTGACTAAAAACGTCAGCAAATTCGCTCAGGAGAACTCGCAGCTGCGCGCGCTGCGAGTCAGACAGGTCCACTGAACCCGCGCAAAGCGCATCCAGCCATCCGTCATCAGAGTCCGAATGCGGTCGCGACGGAGGATCGGTGGATACCTGACCCACGAGTGGTTCCTCACAGGGCACCGGCGTTGCGTGTGCAAGCACGGTCCCTTGAGGAACCACGGCCGTTCGCGATCCCACATTAAGGACTGCAATGAAGGGGTCCCCATCCCCTCTCACCATAGTCTGAGCCGCGAGCAAATCGGGTCCATTGACCCCGGCCCGAGATGGACCCAACAAGACCCCCCGATCCGCAACCCCTGCATCAAACGGCCGACGCAACCTAAGAGGGACGAGCATCTGAGCCCCCGGAGGCACGCGCACAGTTTTTGTGACGAGCGCCTGCACGGTGGCAAACGCCCGACGCTCCGTGGTGGGGGAAGACAGAAATGTAACGCGTCGGCCCGATGGGAGCTCAATGCACCCTTGGTCAATAAGGATACGGATGGGCATTTTGGCCAGAAAAATCCGTCCCCAACAGGCACGGAACCGCGAGTGAGGAGGAAACCAAAACAGGGCCGGATAATTTAATGTCCCCAATGCAGATAGTGGCGCGGATTTGGCCAATAATGCCCAGAGAGCCCCCGTTAGCGGCATAGCACGGCACGTCAACAGGGAGCAAGGGACGACTTTGAACGGGAAGGATGTTATAAATTAAATCAGATATAATGGTCGCCGATGCCCCTGTGTCAATTAAAATCCGCACCTCTACCCCATCAATGTGACCGACCACGACCGATGATCCCGCCGACGCAGCAACGACACGATGGGCGAGCTCCGACCACTGACCCGGTTGGAGCGCTCGCCGCATTACCGAACAATCGCGCGCGACGGACGGGGAATTTGGAGCCCTGTTTAGTTGAGCGCGTGAGTGTGTGTCGGATGTGTGCGTGGGCCAAACGTGTGAGGTGCCGCGACTCGCCGTATTTCTCTGCTGGAGCTTGGGAGGAGACGGCGTGGCGTCCTGGCGAGGTGTCGCCCCGCGCTGACGGGGAGCCCGGCATCCAGACGCAACGTGGCCTTGCAGGCCACAGTTGTAGCAGCGTGTGAGCGCCCCAGATGACCTGGGCTGCTCCTGGCGGCTCGGTCCATTCCGAGCCTGCGGTGCCGCCGATCTCCATTCCCCTCGCCGCTCCACCCCGCAGACCTCCTCCGATGGGAGGGCGGTGGTCGCCATGGCATGGCCGGCCGCCCCCTTTGCCGCCTTCCGACGCAGGGACCGCAAGCCCCCGTGGATGTGGCGCGCGACCAGCAGGGACGACATCTCCGCGTCGTCCTGAGCCAAGACGTTGACGTCCAGCTCGTCAGCGAGTAGCAGCAGCTTCTCAGCCACCATGGCATCCACTCCTTCCTCGTCCATCCTTGGGAAAGCAGCCTTTGCCAGAGCCAGGAGAGCCGTCCGGAAGGCCAGGGGTGACTCGTTGGCGCCCCGACTCCGATCGTGGAACAGCTGCCTGCAGTCCGAAGGCGGCCCATAGACGGCTGACAGCAGCTGCAACGCCAGGTGTAGAGTGGCGCGCTTTTCCCTCGGCGCCGAGGTGAGGGTAGCCAGGGCGTCGTTGTCCAGCATCGCTGGCAGCGCGCGTAGAGCCTCGGCGTCCGACCAGTTCGCCATCTCTTGATGAGCGATGAACCGCCTCTTGAAACCGCCCCAGTCTCCGTCAGCGCCGACAAATTCTTTAAGAGGCGGCAGACGCTGTTGTAAGGCGGCGTCCGTGGCCGCAGAACGCTCTCCGTCGCTCCCCGCCGATGATACAGTGTGGGCGGGCCGTGCACATGGCATCGCCGGTCGCTCTGATGTTGACGCGCCGGCCGGCGTTGATGATGTCACGGCTTGTGCTTGGCGCTCAGCAGACACGTGACGCGGGCCGGCCCCGCCCTCCGCTCGTACTGTAGAGATGGCGGGAAATTTGACCGCGAGCCGCGTCGGGGTGGCGGGAAACGTCGCCCCGCGCCGGCTGCCGTCGTCGACCCGCGCTGCTCCTCCAGCCCCCAGCCGCGTGATCTCCTCCAACGCGGCGGCCGCGGCGTAGAGCAGGTCCGCCAGGCGGGAGTGGGCCAGCCGGAGTCCTTCGGCCGACGCATCCCCCTCCTCCTGTCGTAGCGGCGCGGGCGTACTCGGCCCCGGCTGCTCCGATTCGACCCCGGCCATCACTGGTGGAGATTCGGCCGCGGCGTCTTCCATCTCCGACTCCCTGGTACGTGTCGTCCCTCGTGTGTCCATCGTTGGACGTTTACTTCTGACACCAGATGTAGTAAGTATATATGGAGGCTTGACGACAGGATCGGAGGCACACTTATTTATTACACCAACACAGTTGTACAGGTCACTTGGCTACAGGGATTCTCGACAGCTAACCCCTCTAACCTATACCAATTCCTCCACTACGGGACTAGGGGAGGCTATCTGTCCCAGCTTGGTTAAGCTGGGATCCCGGCTCCCTGAGTCACCAGACCAGCTTCGTCTGGGCTCTCGGGGCCACGCCACCGGCTTGCCCTGGTCGGCCCTTATAAGGACAGCGAGCCAGGGGAGCTCTGGGGCCTACACTAGCTGGTCTTCCGTCTTCTCTGGTTAAAGCTGAGTCCCGACCTCGAGCCCTCGAGCTCATCACCTTTTATAGGACTCGCCCCCGAGGGGGGGGCCCGTGGGGGATACACATGCGGACGTCGGTGCTAGCGCCACCCTTGTGTACGGCCGTAACCCCGCCCATTGTGTTTGTTGGCCATCCGTGGCCATGCATAATCACACCTCAACATTCGTAGCCATGCGCAATTACACCTCTACACTACTATACACTACACTACACACTACGCTACTAAACACTACACTATACACTACGCTACTAAACACTACACTATACACTATGCTACTATACACTACACTACACACTACTAAACACTACACTATACACTACACTACTATACACTACACTATACACTACGCTACTAAACACTACACTACACACTACTAAACACTACACTATACACTACACTACTATACACTACACTACACACTACGCTACTAAACACTACACTATACACTACGCTACTAAACACTACACTATACACTATGCTACTATACACTACACTACACACTACTAAACACTACACTATACACTACACTACTATACACTACACTATACACTACGCTACTAAACACTACACTATACACTACGCTACTATACACTAAACTATACACTACAATACTAAACTCTACACTATACACTACGCTACTATACACTGCACTATACACTCCACTATACACTACGCTACTATACACTACACTATACACTACTCACTAGTGCTGTACTAGCAACCAATTGGCCACATTTTGTTTACGTGACAACCCTTACTAAATGGCTGTGTCGGGTGGTGGCGGGTTGAACGACACATTTACATATTTACGCGATTGAACCCAAAAAAACCCTCTTATGGACGATATTGGTCGCGAAAGCCTCCTACGCGTCAAACAGAGTCAGCTCAATTTGCTGCTGTCAATCTTTGGCGTCGACAATGCCCGTTGGGGCCGCACCGTCCAGCAGCAACGCAGCAGCAGAGCGAGCGCCAGCAACAGGACGTAGGCCCCCACGATGGCGACGAGGAGGGCGGGCAGAGGGAGAGGAAGAGACCAGACATTGGGTGCTTCGGTGACCGCGTAGAAGGTGACGGGCTGGAGTTGCATCACACACACATACAGAGAAGACAAAGACACACAGACAACAACAACAGCAATTCGCCACTAAGTGGTGGCGGTGACGTCACCACGACGCTTGTGCCAGGCCGTGTGCACCTTGAGGCTACAACGTGAAGTGTCGAACGCCCGCTGGCAGGAGGTCACGGGGCAGACCCAGCAGGTGCCACAGGTCGACTGACTGAGATGACCGAGATGACTGGCTAATGCACCACCTGTACCCCCTACTGTGCCAAATTGCTGTGCTTTAGCCACCCGGTGCTTTGCTCGTTGTTGTGAGCGTCGCTCTTCCGCCCTCCGTTGTACACACAGACACACACAGACACACACAGACACACAAAAAGACATATATCCCCAGTGTAGCCTCAACAGACTGTAGGGGCAAGTGCTGTTAGCGAGCACCTATGAAGGCCGGAACGGTACACGAGGGGGTGGGTGGCCAGCACCACGCCCGGCCGCCTTTGTCTCCCTAGTGGTGATGTTTACTAGCAATACAATGGCCGCCTCTTCAGCACGTAGTTGTGATGTATACGAGGCTCTCCGATCTTACATTTACATGCAAATTCCATCTCTAGCCCCACCCACTTACCCATCTCAAACCTTCTTGGGTCTTTCGGTAAAGTCACGTAGAATGGAAATAATAAAATAAAACATTATAATAAAACATTTTATTATGTTTTATTTTATTATTTTATTATTTCCCTTCTATGTGACTTTACCGAAAGAACCAAGAAGATGAATCCCTGCAGTCACGAAAGCTTTAAATCGAAACATCTCAAACCTATATAAACTCTTGCTGCAGCAGCTCTCCTGCTACATTTCTCCTGCCTTAGCAGTCCGCCTGCTGTATTTTTTGCACCTGAAGACGACTGCTTGCGTTGCGATCGAAACGTCGTAGATTTTTTAAAATTATTTTTCTTCTATCCACGTGGCTTTACCGAAAGACCCAAAAAGTGTGAATTCCTGCAGCCACGAAAGCTTTAAGTCAAGATTTAAGCACTGAAATTATTTGGGTTATTCTGCCGCTATGAATGCCCACGTGATGATGATGATGCTGATAGCCACTTTGTTGAGATGCTATCAGTTAGCGATGGACAAGCTGCTTCTGAATAAGTAATATTTAAAAATACTTTTTTGTTAAACACGCTTTAATTAAATGTACCGTACTCGTAATGGAAGAACTCCACGACTCCAGGAAGTGGCCCCCGAAGCTTGCCACAACGTAAGGGGCCGTGGTGATTTACAGCCAACGTGAGTTGAGCGTGGACAATTAGACCCAAGCCGAAACATAACATATGAAAAAGAATGTTTAAAAAAAAATGTTTGATAGAATATAGTATTGTCATCAGTATGACGTAGGTATGCCAAGTTTGCAGTCGATACCACATTGGGAAGTGGGTTAAAATTGAGTTACAAGATTTGAGGATACGACAACAACAGACAAAGTGAGTTCAATAAGAGTGTGTAATAAAAATTAGTTAATTAGTTCAGTGGGCTTTACCTGGTTAGATGAAACCATTTCTTTAAAAACAAGCATTCAGACGCTGTCTTTCCGACAGACCTGTTCTTCACCTGAGGACGGCTGCTTGCGTTGTGGCCGAAACGTCGTGAGAATTATTTTATTATGTTTTATTTTTATTATTTTATTATTTCCCTTCTACGTGATGACTTTACCGAAAGAACCAAGAAGATGAATCCCTGCAGTCACGAAAGCTTTAAATCGAAATTTAAAGCTTTGAGATTATTTATATTATTTTGCTGCTATACATTTCTAGGTGATGATAACAGCCACTTTGTTGAGCAGCTATGATTTAGTGACAGCCAGATTTGTAGTCTGATAATGCTGCTTGTAATTACTGGCGAAACTTCCTACTCAGATTGCAAATCTTGTGGGTTTACTCTCCAACACACCGGTGTGCTGTACTAGTAACAATTGGCATGTTCTGTTTACGTGACAAACCTTACTGATTGTCTGTGTTGGATGCTGGCGGGTTTAAACACATTCCTGCGGAGGGAGCTGGTAGGTCAATGGCCTGCAGGGTCAACGGCGGCGTGGTGTATTCCGCAAATATGGCCGACTGTGAGGGCGGGCACAATCCGGCGTGAGTAGGTGAAACGTTGAGTTTTATAAGGGCACCACGGGGTGACCAGCCCCTCCCCACCCAGCCCCACCCCTCCCATTTTTGGATGCACGACGGACAGACACAATAATCCCCTGTGGGCAGGTAGAATCAGGTGGTTTCTACCAGTACAACGCATTTATATTCATGCAATCTAACCCAAACAACCGTATTATGGATTTAGATTAGTTTGCTGCTATACTGCTAGGAACCTCCTGGTTACACCAGCCCACAGGGGATTATTGTGTCCGTCCGTCAGTCGTGCAGGAAGGGGGCTGGGTGGGGAGGGAGGGAGGGGCTGGGTGGGCAGGGTGGGGAGGGGCTGGGTGAGGAGGTTGGGGCTGGATGGGGAGGGTGGGGCTGAGTAGGGAGGTTGGGGAGGGGCTGGGTGGGGAGGGTGGGGAGGGGCTGGGTGGGGAGGGTGGGGCTGAGTAGGGAGGTTGGGGCTGGGTGGGGAGGGTGGGGAGGGGCTGGGTGGGGAGGTTGGGGCTGGGTGGGGGGTGGGGCTGGGTGGGGAGGGGCTGGGTGGGGAGGGTGGGGAGGGGCTGGGTGGGAGGGGTAGGGCTGGGTGGGGGGTGGGGTGGGGCTGGGTGGGGAGGGGCTGGGTGGGGAGGTTGAGGAGGGGCTGGGTGAGAAGGGGCTGGTCACCCCGTGGTGCCCTTATAAAACTCAACGTTTAACCTACTCACGCCGGCTTGTGCCCGCCCTCACAGTCGGGCGTATTTGCGGAATACACCACGCTGCTGTTGACCCTGCAGGCCATTGACCGAGCAACCCGACGTTCCTACCAGCTCCCTCCGCAGGATGAATGTCTATGGGCAGTGTTAGTCTATGGGCAGTGTTAGTCTATGGGCAATGTTAGTCAATGGGCAATGTTAGTCTATGGGCAGTGTTAGTCTATGGGCAGTGTTAGTCTATGGGCAATGTTAGTCTATGGGCAGTGTTAGTCTATGGGCAGTGTTAGTCTATGGGCAGTGTTAGTCTATGGGCAGTGTTAGTCTATGGGCAGTGTTAGTCTATGGGCAATGTTAGTCTATGGGCAGTGTTAGTCTATGGGCAGTGTTAGTCTATGGGCAGTGTTAGTCTAGGGGCAGTGTTAGTCTATGGGCAGTGTTAGTCTATGGGCAGTGTTAGTCTATGGGCAATGTTAGTCTATGGGCAGTGTTAGTCTATGGGCAATGTTAGTCTATGGGCAGTGTTAGTCTATGGGCAATGTTAGTCTATGGGCAGTGTTAGTCTATGGGCAGTGTTAGTCTATGGGCAGTGTTAGTCTATGGGCAGTGTTAGTCTATGGGCAGTGTTAGTCTATGGGCAGTGTTAGTCTATGGGCAATGTTAGTCTATGGGCAATGTTAGTCTATGGACAGTGTTAGTCTATGGGTAGTGTTAGTCTATGGGCAATGTTAGTCTATGGGCAGTGTTAGTCTATGGGCAATGTTAGTCTGTGGGCAGTGTTAGTCTATGGGCAGTGTTAGTCTATGGGCAGTGTTAGTCTATGGGCAATGTTAGTCTGTGGGCAGTGTTAGTCTATGGGCAGTGTTAGTCTATGGGCAATGTTAGTCTATGGGCAATGTTAGTCTATGGGCAGTGTTAGTCTATGGGCAATGTTAGTCTATGGGCAGTGTTAGTCTATGGGCAGTGTTAGTCTATGGGCAGTGTTAGTCTATGGGTAGTGTTAGTCTATGGGCAATGTTAGTCTATGGGCAATGATAGTCTATGGGCAATGTTAGTCTATGGGCAGTGTTAGTCTATGGGCAATGTTAGTCTATGGGCAGTGTTAGTCTATGGGCAGTGTTAGTCTATGGGCAGTGTTAGTCTATGGGTAGTGTTAGTCTATGGGCAATGTTAGTCTATGGGCAATGATAGTCTATGGGCAATGTTAGTCTATGGGCAGTGTTAGTCTATGGGCAGTGTTAGTCTATGGGCAGTGTTAGTCTATGGGCAGTGTTAGTATATGGGCAGTGTTAGTCTATGGGCAGTGTTAGTCTATGGGCAGTGTTAGTCTATGGGCAGTGTTAGTATATGGGCAGTGTTAGTCTATGGGCAGTGTTAGTCTATGGGCAGTGTTAGTATATGGGCAGTGTTAGTCTATGGGCAGTGTTAGTCTATGGGCAATGCTAGTCTATGGGCAGTGTTAGTCTATGGGCAGTGTTAGTCTATGGGCAATATTAGTCTATGGGCAATGTTAGTCTATGGGCAGTGTTAGTCTATGGGCAGTGTTAGTCTATGGGCAATATTAGTCTATGGGCAATGTTAGTCTATGGGCAGTGTTAGTCTATGGGCAGTGTTAGTCTGTGGGCAATGTTAGTCTACGGGCAATGTTAGTCTGTGGGCAATGTTAATCTATGTTAGTCTATGGGCAATGTGAGTCTATGGGCAATGTTAGTCTATGTTAGTCTATGGGCAATGTGAGTCTATGTTAGTCTATGGGCAGTGTTAGTCTATGGGCAGTGTTAGTCTATGGGCAATGTTAGTCTATGTGCAATGTTAGTCTATGGGCAATGTTAGTCTATGTTAGTCTGTGGGCAATGTTAGTCTATGTGCAATGTTAGTCTATGGCCAATGTTAGTCTATGTTAGTCTATGGGCAATGTTAGTCTATGTTAGTCTATGGGCAATGTTAGTCTATGGGCAGTGTTAGTCTATGTTAGTATATGGGCAATGTTAGTCTATGTTAGTCTATGGGCAATGTTAGTCTATGTAAGTCTATGGGCAATGTTAGTCTATGTTAGTCTATGGGCAATGTTAGTCTATGTTAGTCTATGGGCAATGTTAGTCTATGGGCAGTGTTAGTCTATGTTAGTATATGGGCAATGTTAGTCTATGTTAGTCCATGGGTAATGTTAGTCTATGGGCAGTGTTAGTCTATGTTAGTCTATGGGGAATGTTAGTCTATGTTAGGCTATGGGAAATGTTAGTCGATGGGCAATGTTAGTCTATGTTAGTCTATGGGCAATGTTAGTATATTTAGTCTATGGGCAATGTTAGTCTATGTTAGTCTATGGGAAATGTTAGTCTATGTTAGTCTATGGGCAATGTTAGTCTATTTTAGTCTATGGGCAATGTTAGTCTATGGGAAATGTTAGTCTATGGGAAATGTTAGTCTATGGGCAATGTTAGTATATGGGCAATGTTAGTCTATGTTAGTCTATGGGCAATGTTAGTCTATGTTAGTCGATGGATAATGTTAGTCTATGGGTAATGTTAGTCTATGGGCAATGTTAGTCTATGGGCAGTGTTAGTCTATGTTAGTCTATGGATAATGTTAGTCTATGGGTAATGTTAGTCTGTGGGTAATGTTAGTCTATGGGCAATGTTAGTCTATGTTAGTCTATGGGCAATGTTAGTCTATGTTAGTCTGTGGGTAATGTTAGTCTATGTTAGTCTATGGGCAGTGTTAGTCTATGTTAGTCTATGGGCAATGTTAGTATGTGGGTAATGTTAGTCTATGGGCAATGTTATTCTATGGGCAATGTTAGTCTATGGGCATTGTTAGTCTATGGGCAATGTTAGTCTATGAGAAATGTTAGTCTATGGGCAATGTTAGTCTATGGGCAATGTTAGTCTATGGGCAATGTTAGTCTACGGGCAATGTTAGTCTACGGGCAATGTTAGTCTACGGGTAATGTTAGTCTGTGGGCAATGTTAGTCTGTGGGCAGTGTTAGTCTATGTTAGTCTATGGGCAATGTTAGTCTATGGGCAATGTTAGTCTATGGGCAATGTTAGTCTGTGGGTAATGTTAATCTATGTTAGTCTATGGGCAATGTTAGTCTATGGGCAATGTTAGTCTATGGGCAATGTTAGTCTGTGGGCAGTGTTAGTCTATGAGCAATGTTAGTCTATGGGCAGTGTTAGTCTGTGGGTAATGTTAGTCTATGGGCAATGTTAGTCTATGGGCAATGTTAGTCTGTGGGTAATGTTAGTCTATGGGCAATGTTAGTCTATGGGCAGTGTTAGTCTGTGGGTAATGTTAGTCTATGGGCAATGTTAGTATATGAGCAATGTTAGTCTATGGGCAGTGTTAGTCTATGGGCAGTGTTAGTATATGAGCAGTGTTAGTCTATGGGCAATGTTAGTCTATGGGCAGTGTTAGTCTATGGGCAATGTTAGTATATGGGCAGTGTTAGTCTATGGGCAATGTTAGTATATGGGCAGTGTTAGTCTATGGGCAATGTTAGTCTATGGGCAATGTTAGTATATGGGCAGTGTTAGTCTATGGGCAATGCTAGTCTATGGGCAATGTTAGTCTATGGGCAGTGTTAGTCTATGGGCAGTGTTAGTCTAAGGGCAATGTTAGTCTATGGGCAGTGTTAGTCTACGGGCAATGTTAGTCTATGGGCAGTGTTAGTCTATGGGCAGTGTTAGTCTATG